GTTCGCAAGCCCTAAAAGAAAGTAACTGTCAACCCCGATTACCGCATCCTACAAAATCACCCCGCAGAATTGAAGGCGGGAGTGAAAAGAATTAAGATGCGTTACGTTCGTGTGCCAGTGCCCTGATGGACCGTCATCATTATGTACTGCAAACCTGTGCTAACAAAAATTGTTTTTTAAATTTTAAAGTTGACAAAGAAATGGACTTTCCACAACAAGGAGAACGTGAAGAGCCGTGAGCAGCAGTGAGCACGGCAGAGCTCTCTGGAGTCCTGAGGGGGACAGCGAGGCTGCGGTCGCCAAGCAGCGCGAGGGAAAGTGGACAAAAGGAAACAAAGGACCCCGGAGAAGCAGACGGCGACAGCGCACAGTAACGCCTCTCCACACCGACGCCCGATGGGAACGGTCTCACGCCCGAGCAGAAGCCGCAGAGGGGAGTGGATCAAAACCAAACCCGACCGGACACTGCCCGCAGGACACAGCGCAGCCCAAGGAACACCGACAGCAGCGGATGACAGCACTGCAGCCGAGCCGGCAGCAGGCAGGGCAGCCACTCTCATTCCCGACAGCGCTGACATCAAACCAGCGGGTCGGAAGAGGCAGACAAAGCCCCTGCACACTGCAAAAAGGAAGCAATTCCCGGGAAGAGGTGACAATTTCCATACAAGGTGCTTTAACATATACAGCGGACACTTACATTTGTGGAAAAGGTTATTAAAGGACACACTGCCCTAACCTACAGGATGAAACTAGGCACGTTTCTCTCACCCTGTACTAACATCAAATCAAAATGAAGCAAAGACCTAGATATAAAAACAGAAACACTGAAAAAAAAGGTAGGGAAAACAAAGCCGTGAGACTGTTATGGTCTGTGTCTAGACGTCCCCCCAAACCCTCATGCAGTCATGGGGTGGGCTTCTAGAGTTTGTGACTGACTCGTGGTCCACTGCTGGGATTATGGGTGTGAGTTCTACACCCACCCTGGGTTGGGCAGCCTGCATACAATATAAGGGAGAGAAAGAGACTTGCTCTCTGATGCTTCTCCCTATTGCTCTTGTTGCTTTTGCTGTCTTCTGCTGCCAAGAACTGCTGCCCTCTACCATGTGCCACCCTGCCTTGGAGCCAGCTGATTATGGACTGAAACCTCCACAAACTGAGCTAAATAAACCTTTCTTTCTTTAATTTTGGGTGTCAGGTATTTTGTCCCAGCAATGAGAGAAAAGTAACCAGGACAAAATTTGGTACTAGAGAGTGAGGTTATTGCTGTGACTATACCTGTATATGTAGTTCAAGAACCTTTGGAAATGGCTTGTGGGAAGATTTTGGAAAGGTTCAGAGATGTCCCCTGAAAGAGTAGAGCTGGAATGCCTTAGGCTGTTTTGTAGGGGAGATTCTGGTCAGAGCTCAGAAGATGGAAGAGTGATTGAAATCCTGCTGGTAAAGAATGGGCTTGGGGGGTTTCTACTGGGAAGAAGGACTGCACTAGGGGCTAGACTCCAGATGATGAATGTTATGGCTTGGCAGAAAGTGTGTCTGCATTTTGCTTGTGTTCAAAGACTGCCTGAGACTAAGGGTGGCAGACTAATTAATCTGGCGGAAGAAACTTAAAGGCAGTCAAATGTTGAGGTGGTGTGGCATGGCTATTGGGGGTTTTGGATTTTGGGGGTGGGGCTTTTAGATTTATGTTGCGAATGATTTAAAACATGAGTTTGGCCAGAAAGGAAGCTCCAGTAAAGCTTTGGACTGCAGAGATGGAGCTGAGGAAATCTCGACTGCTGAGAAGGAACAGAACATAAAAGATGGCCTGAGGGCATCACCAGAAGCAGCAAGTCTCCACCCTTTGCAGCCTCAAACCTGCAAAAGCGAAAGACTCTGTTTTGAGGAGAAAGCCGTAAAGTGTCATGTTCCAAAATGGCAGCCATGGCCACTCCAGGTTCCAGAATGGCAGAGGTATAGAGAATTTTTTGTTCCTCAGGATCAGGTTCACAGGGCTCAGTGATCCAGGCCCTCAACCCCCACAAGAGAGAAGAAAGCTTGGCTACTGCTCCAGGTGGCAGCAGACCTTGGCATCACCCATGTGGTGCTGGTTTTAGGCACATGCAGAATGCAAGAGTTCTGAGGTTAGAAAGGCTTCCACCCCAATTTCCAAAGGCCTGGGAGGCCAAGCAGTGTGCCCCTGAGAGGGCAGTGTGTGAAGCTGTGAGAAGCCAAAGGTGCAGTGGAGACCCCAGAAGTTGGGAAAAACCAGAAACATGGACCATTTAAGGAAAGCTGCAAGGATTGAGCTCAGCAGGCCTAAGAGAAGCCCTGAGAGCTACAACCACCAGAGGTGCCATAGGGGAGGAGCTATGCAAGCCCTTTGGAGAATTTACCAGACTGCTTCAGATGGACCTACAGGGCTTAATGTTTGTCCTGCTAGATTTTGGACTTGCTTCGGTCCCAATGCTTTGTATCCCCGTTTGTAGTATTTGGAATGGAAATGTTTATCTTATGCCATTGAATGTTGGAACTGTTTTTTTTTTTTTTTTTTTTTTTTTTTTTTTTTTTTTGTCTTTTTTGAGACAGGGTCTTGCTATGCAGCTCCGGCTGACATTGAGCCCACTTTGTAGCCCAAGCTGGTCTCAAACTTGCAACGAACCTCCTACCTCAGCCTCCTGAATGGTGGGAGTACAGATGTGCACCACCATGCTTGGCTTAACTTTCATTTGTACAGGGGTTCACAGCTAAAAGTTTGCCTGACATCTTGGAGACTTGGGACTCGGGCTTTTCAGCAATGCTGAAACTGTTAGGACTTTGGCAACTCTTACGGATGGACTAGAAAGTTTTTGAGGGACCAGGGGTGGAATGTTACGGTTTGTGTCTAGATGTCCCCCTAAACCCTCATGCAGTCATGGGACAGGCTTCTAGAGTTTGTGACTGACTCGTGGTCCAATGCTGGGATTATGGGTGTGAGTGCTACACCCACCCTGGGGCGGGCAGCCTGCATATAATATAAGGGAGGGAAGGTGGCTTGCTCCTGCTGCTCCTCCCTTTTGCTCTTGCTGTTTTTGCCGTTTTCTGCAGCTAGGAACTGCTGCCCGCTGCTGTGTGCCACTCTGCCTTAGAGCCAGCAGAGTATGCACTGAAACCTCCACATCTGTCAACTAAATAAAACTTTCCTCCCTTAATTTTGGTGTCGGGTATTTTGTCCCAGCAACAAGAGAAAACCAAGACAGGCCTTCCTGCACAGAACCCAATGGCACAGTATCAAGGGTCAACAAAGGGGTCACATCAAAACCCTCTGCACAGCAACAATCTACAGAACGGGAGATGGTTCCTGCCAATTCTCTTCTGACAGGACTATCTAGAATAAAGCACTCAAAACACCTATAGAACAAATGACTCAACCAAAAGTAGGCAAACGAAATGAATACACGTCTCCAGAGTACCAACGGCCAGTAAGTGCATGAGAAAACTGCTCCTGTTTAGTCACTGAAAAGCTTACTCTAGTCTGAATGGCTGTCCTGAACACAAACCCAACACTGACAAGGTTACGGGAGACAGAACCTTGTCAGAGGGACCCTGAACTGCTACACCCACTAGGAAACCAGTGTGCACACTCCTCAGAAACAAAGTAGACATCCATGTGAGCCAGCTGTACTGTCCTGGGCACCTCCTCGGAAAAGGTACATGACACTACTGACCCATGCAGGGCTGCTTCTCTGCAAGCACAATGGAGTACTATTCACTCCTGAAGTTGCAGTTGAGTAAGGGGTGATCTCAAGGGTGTACTGTGACTGTAACGTGTAGTGAACAAGTCAATTACAGGTTGAATATGATTCCGCCAAAAAAAAAAAAAAAAACAAAACACAAACCTCTCGGAAGGGTCGGGCATGTAGCTCAATGGCGTAAGTGCCCGCCTGGCAAGCATAAGGTCCTGAGTTTGATTCCCTGTACCCCCCACCCCAAAAAAAGAAAAAATATGGTTTCACATGAGAAATCCAAGAAATAAGAGTAAAATGAACACTGGGCGTGGTGATGCACATCTATAATCTCAGCACTCAGGAGGCTGAGGCAGGAGGATCGTTGCAAGTTTGAGGTCAGGCTGGGCTACATGTGTTCTAGGCCAGCCGAACTGCATAGTGAGATCGTGTCTCAGACAAAAAAATAAAAAACAAAAGATGCTAGCAAACAGGTTCAGGATTTCTGAAACAACAGACGTACCTATCCCAATTTACCAGTGATGAACCAAGCCCAAAGCACAACAGGCTGCACAGGTCTTAAGTTCTAAGATTCAGGGACCCACAAGGATGAAGCAGAAGCCATAAAGTACCTTGGTTCCAGCACCTGGGAACCCAGCTTTGGCAACAGGTCACTGGAGGCCACAAGCACCGTCCTTGGTGGACAAGGTGTACCACCACCCGCAGCAGTGACTGGCACTCAGCAGCACAGGGAGAGACCCTGGCTGCCCTCGCGTATTTCTGAGACAGCCCCCGTGTCTGTCAGTTGCCCAGGCTGGGACAGTTTTCTTTGGAGACAGTGTCACTAGGCAATTCATGCTCAACTCACAGCAACCCTGCCTCAGCCTCCCAAGAACGGGGTTGGCTGGAACTTATGATCCTTCAGCCTCTCAGCTGGCTGGTTACACCAAGCCCCATTTTTAAAGACTTTTCTGGTACTGGGATTCAAACTCAGGACCTCACACTTGCCAGGTAGATGCTTATTCGGCTAAGCGACATCCCCAGGCCCTCACCATCTTTTCATCTGGTTTCACATGTAGTAACTCTAGAAGGCAGACCTAGGTCCCAACTTTTAGTCCCCTAGAACTTCCAGACTTGAGGCTCACCAGGAGTTCACGGTCAGCCTGGATCACACAGTGAATTCAAGGCCAGTATGAACCACAGGGACTGACCCTGCCACAAGAAGCTAAGAAAAAAAAAATAAAATCAGGAACACCCAAACCTCAAAAGTGGTAGAGAAAAACAGCGCCCAAAATAGTGTATATTGTACAGACTCATAAATTTTGTTAAGCACAAACTTTATTCTGAATAAATCATCCTGTAATTGCTGAAAAGTATTTCCTACTTAGCTAGGTACATAATTTCCCAAACATAGCCAATACAAAAATGTAAGAAATTTACAAAGCTGTGTGAAATAACTTAATATTTAAAACTAGACTGATACAGTCTGTCATTATCTCTGCAAGAGAACTATTCAATTATGTAATTAGATATTTTTCTTAAGTGGGTAAAAGAAAGCATGCTTTAAGGCTTCTTTGAGAGTAATTCTTTTTGCTGGATCATACTCTAACATCTTCTGAATGAGGTCAAAAAGAAGTTCATGTTCGGCATCCTGAGAAAGCATGAATTCCTAAAACAAAACAAAACAAAACTTTTTTACCATTATGAAGACAGACAGGAAGTGGGGTGAAGCACAAGGTCCTGGGTTCAGTTCTCAGAAACACAGAAATCCAAACCAAGAGACACCCACCCCGAGGAGAAGCCAGGCCTGGGGCATGGTGGTGACGTCAGGCTCACTCACCTTCAGGGGTTTACAGCGCCGTGAGACGTATCTGCCGGCAGAACTATGCTCGTCCCAGTCTAAGCGATCATGATGGAAATATTTACGTTTCCTAAAAACAAGTCAACATCCATTTATGGTTATAGTATCAACAGTGAAAACACCAGAACACATAACAAAGTGGCAGTAAGGAAAAAAAAGTGATAGAGTAGTAGTAATTAAGGCTTAACTAAAACTTACCTGGTTTTCTGTATCATGTGTTTTGGCAGAGGTCCAAGAATCCTTTCCATCATCGCTAAGTGCTCCTTGCTATCGTGAGTCTAAAATAAAAGTACAATGTTTTAATCTGATAACACACTGTGCATCATTTTCACCTGACAAGAAGTCATTTTCTAATTCACAGATGACAGCTGTGAAAACTTAACTCAAGAATAAACTTGCCATTGATTTCCCTAACTGGATAAGGACAGCTGTTTATAATACACTTGTTTTAAAATAACACATCTAGCCGGGCGTGGTGGCATACACCTGTAATTCCAGCACTTGGCAAGCTGAGGCAGGAGGATCAGTGCGAGTGAGGCCAGCCTGGGCTACACAGTGAGCTCAAGGCCAGCCTGAACTACACAGTGAGATCCCGTCTCGAAAAGACAAAACTAAAGTAACACACAATATAGCTGGGTATGGAAGCACATGCCTGTTTCCCAGCATTCAGGAGAGGCAGGACAGTAAGAAGTTCAAGGCTAACAAGACCCTGTCTCTAAATAAATGAAAAAAGAAATTACACTTCACTTGATTTTGTTTATCTATTGCTTGTTGTGCAGTATCTATTGCTGTAATGAGAAGAACTGCTAAGTGAAGACGTATGTATGTTCTGCACTCAAGTGTTCAGCTCCACTCAGGTACTTTCATGTGCCAAGCCACAGAAACAGGCAGCCACTCACCGGAAATACCGTAAACCCAAGGTAGTACTCGATGAGAATGCACCCTATGCTCCAGACGTCACACGGCTGCGACCACCCTAAGGCTGCAGAGCAGAGCACAATGTTAGGGGAAAAACCCTCGCAGTTTCTTAAAAACAGTGAACGCTACTTTGGAACACTCTGCTAAAAATGAACACATATAATGTGCTGACACGCTGAAAAGACCCTAAGGAAATCACTTAATATAAGGCAGACTGAGTTCATATAAGAGGTAGGGGTTTGGAGGCACCCAGTTTTGAATCTCTGCTCAGACTAACTGGAACTGGGGACTTGGGGAAGTTCCCGGGCTTCTGTGATGCCTCTCGCGTAGGGACTGACTGCACTGAACAGTTACGCTGAGACTCACACTCAGTCAGGCCCTGTCCAGTGAGACACGGGCAGAATGGAGGACAACCCCCACCCCGCTGACATCAGGGCACACTGCGTCACTCGCATCTCTGCCACTGCTGCTGTCAACAAGCCTGCAATGTCATTCTTGGGAATCGAACTCATAACCTCACACATCTGCCAGGCAGGCTCTGTGACGCACCACCAGGTCTAAGCACAGGACGTTCAACTGTATGGCAGAGATACTTCCTCAGAACCGCGTGACTGCGTTATTTACGTGCTACACTCATGAAGTGTACTCCTCCTGGTAAACAGTTTGGCTGACAGAGCTCAGGAGACCAGTGCTTGCCCAGCGTGAGGGCCCAGGTTCAAGAGCAGGCAGCACCAGGTCTGCCTGGAGTGGTCTGCTGTGCAGCCTGCAGCAACCACACCACCTGTGTGCAAGTCTGATACCTGCACCCTCTTCTCCCCTTCATTAATCCTTTTTTCTCTTCACAGCCCTAGGAATCGGCTGTACTACACACACCAATCTACAGGTGACATCCCTCAGACTATCTGTAGATGTACTGTGCTGCGTCTACACAATACACTATCAGAGCACACCCCCACCCAGCCATCACAACCATCCAATGAGCCCAGAAAGGTTAAGCTGCTTGCTCAAAGACCCAGTTAACTAGAACAACCCAAAGCTTAAAATCCTATTTCTAACACTGATCCTTTGGAAAAAGAAAAAAGAAAAAAAAAAAAACTACCACTTTTTAAAAAATCCTACTAATAGCCAGGCATGGTGGTGCACGCCTGTAATCCCAGCACTGAGGAGGCTGAGGCAGGAGGATCATTGTGAGTTCAAGACCAGCCTGGGCTATAAAGTAAATTCCAGGCCAGCTGGCATTGCACAATGAGACCTTGTCTCAAATGAGCTGAGTCCCTTACAGTAAACAAACAGCTCCCGGGGTAACCAGCGACTACTAACCTAAAATCACCTCGGGCGCTCTGTAGTGCCTTGTGGACACCAGCGTGCTGTGATGCTCGTCATCGTACGTTGCGCTTCCGAAGTCTACAACTTTGATATCCGGATTAAGCAAGGTGCGTTCATCACGTTTCTGAAAATCATAAATGACCATGAAGACAAAATAGTAAAAATATTGAGACATTTACTGAAAGCCAAGAAGCTCATGTACTAGACTTACCATTTTGGGATTATACGCCTCTGTATAATCAGACTGCACAAACAAGATGTTTTCAGGCTTTAAGTCTGTGTGAGTCAACTTATTACTGTGCAAAACTGAAAATAAAACAGAAAAGTTATTGCAATCTGAAAATGACCACTCCCAGGTCCCGCAACATCAACTTTCATTGCCTTCCCACATGCCCAGCGGTGGTCAGGAGCATTTCAGGTGGGTTAAAGCCTGCTCCCCTCCTGCAGAGTCCACAAGGAGCCAATTACTTTACTTTCAAGGTTCTGCCAGGCATGTTGGCACATGCCTGTAATCCCACCACTTTGGAGGCTGAGGCAGGAGAATCCTTTAAGTTTGAGACCATCCTGGGGTACAAAGAGAGGGCAGTGAGACCCTGTCTCAAAAAGGTCCCCTCCCCCCAACTCTTTTAGGGTCTTACAATGGCCACGTCTTTTTTTTTTTTTTGTCTTTTTGAGACAGTGTCTCACTATGCAGTTCACGCCGGCCTTGAACTCACTTTGTAGCCCAGGTTAGTCTCAAACTCACAGCAATCCTCCTGCCTCAGTCTCCTAAGTGCAAGGATTACAGGCAATTTTAAAATGTACAACATACTTATTTTTTCCAGGCTCCTGATAAATCTCATGTTAGATTGTATGTGTGTGTGTGGTGCAGGGGGTAAAACCTTGGAACTAGTACCTATTAAGTACACCCCACCTCAGAGCTACATCCTCAATCCCATTAAAAGATCCCAAACATGCTAGAATTATTTTGTTTTGTTTTTTGTTTTTTTTTTTTTGGTTTTTCTCCAGTACCGGGAACCGAACTCACGACCTTGCGCTTGCCAGGCAGGCACTTTGCCGCTGAGCTAAATCCCCAGCCCTTATTCTCTATTTTGGAAAGCTATACCAAGAACTTACAATTCACAGACTTGCATATCTGATATGCCATCTTCCTGATGTGATCAAGGCGGAAGGGTAGAAATCCGTTTTCCTTAATGAAGTCGTAAGTACTGAGCCCCAAGAGTTCAAACACAATGCAAACGTGACCGTGGTGCTCAAACCACTCCAACATCTGGACACAGCGGCTACGAACACAAGAAACGCGCGAGTAACCCTTGCACAACGCAGCCCCCAGCCCACTGTCCACGCCCCGACCCGACACTTACAAAGCGCTGCTGGGGTCCGCCGTGTTTAAGTGCTCCAGAACCTGGATTTCTGAGCGGGCAGCTTCACAGTATCTATCCACATTTTTAACTATTTTTACTGCTACGCGCCTACCTCCCCTGTGAGAGAGTAAGTCTAAGTTAAAAAATGACAAATGTGGTGTCCATTTCTTTTCTGTTTTTAGAAAGACTTTATTTCCTATTACTCTTAAATCTGTGGTTGACTTCTTAGGGCTGGAGCGAGTGCATGTAAGCCTTCTCACTTCAGTTCAACAGCAAACACGAAACGGCCTTTCAATGGAATGCTGAATGGCACAGCCTCTTCATCTGGGGTTTTGGGGGTACTGTCCTATGCAGCCCAGGCTGGGCTTCCACAAGTGACCCACGGGGATGCTGGGACGACAGCTGTGCACCACCACAGCTGGCCTGACAACTCTTTTCACTAGACCACCACTCAGAACGACCCTGGAGTCCCTGCGCAGCACACCGCAGTTCCAGTTCAGCAACTGCGCTGGGACACCAACTCCTCAACGTCCCGTCAGCAGCTCCTCCCACTCTGCCTGCCCCTCTTCCCCCGCCAAGCTCTGAAGACTCTGCACGTGGCGGCAAATGCAGAGCACTAGGGCTCAGCCTCCCCAGCCTCGGCTCACTCAAGAAGCTTCACTATTTACAAAGGAAACACATCAATTCAGGGCCTTCCCAGAGTGCGAAAGAGAAGTTTCAGCCCAAAATTTGCTGGATGGAGACGATGAAACTTATGACCTCAACCTAGAACTATCAAGGCTGAGCATGGTGGCAAGTGCCTGTAATCCTCCAGGACTTAGGCTGAGGCAGAAGGATCCTGTGAGTTTCATGCCACCCCGGGGCTACACAGTAAGCTCAAAGCCAGCCTAAATTACATAGTGCAACCCTATCACAAAAAAAAACAAATAATAAGCAAACTACCCTGAAAAGAACTGGGGGCAAGGAAAACGCCAAAGAATTCCAATATAAAACCAAGACTGAGAGTCAGGCGTGGTGGCACATGCCTGTAATCCCAGCACTCGGGAGGCTGAGGCAGGAGGATCATTGTGAGCCAGCCTGGGCTACAAAGTGAGTTCAAGGCCAGCCCGAACTGCGTATCGAGACTCTGCCTCAAAAAGACAAAAACAAAAACAAAAGAACCAAGACTAAGAAACAATTTAAAGTGTGTGCGTGGGGGGGAAGCCTGGAGTGACAGGGCAACCTGTAACCCAGTACCAGGGAGCCCAGGCAGATCTCAAGTTGGAAGCCAGCCTGGACTAGGACCCTAACTCTACAAGATTGACTGATTTTTTTAAAAAAGGCCATAATTGTGGCTAAGACTCCTCAAATAATTTTATCAGCCTACAATTGCAATTAGAGCCGGGCGTGGTGGCATACGCCTGTAATTCCAGCACTTGGGAGGCTGAGGCAGGAGGACTGTTGTGAGTTCGAGACCAGCCTGGGCTACAAAATGAGCTCAAGGCCAGCCTGAACTGCATAGTTGACACCCTGTCTCAAAAAAGACAAACAAACAAAAAAACCGTAAAATTGCAATTAGAAGTCATATACACTTATTTTTAGTCCTAGACACTGAACCCAGGGCTCTGAACTGGACCCCTATCCCAGAAGCTGTATATACCATTAATGTAACTACTATTTATAAAACACAAAGGCAAAAAGTACTTTAACTGGGAGCTTCTTAGAATGTCAAAAGGAAGTCAAAAGACCCAAGCCACCTCACGTGTAATTCCAGCACAAGGAACTTACGCTCTATGATCAATGCACTCCACAACTTTTCCAAATGCTCCTTCACCTAAAGTATCAACAATTTCATCTAAAAGAGAGAAATAAATCTCAGTCAAAACAGGAAGTGGAAATTATGTACTTATCATTCAAAACCTATCAATGCAAATTATTCTAATTGATGTTACAAATTTCCTTATCACTAGGTATGTACTTATTGGTCTAATTTCATTCTTAGACTAATTTATTAACTTGATTTACTGTTCTGAAGTTCTCTACAACAAATATTAAATATCTAAAGAAAGCAAAAAAAACAATCCCCCCCACCAAAAGAAACAGAAAAACAAAAGAAAAGAGAAAGAAAAAAGATCTCCAAAGCCCTGAAATCTTAATCTATATACAGATTATGTTATCTGAAAAGTGAAAAAGTGTTAAAAAATATTCTATACATCTTGCTCTTAGAACGTCTCCACTCTGACAGACCAGGTGACCCTCCTCATCATCCTCTACACTCCTGGGTCTTTTCCTTCGATGGCTCTTCTGGGAACGGCAAGTGGCGGCACCAAGATCATCCAGCCAATCAATATACCCGAGTGAATTCAGGGCAGAATACGAAATTCATTCAGCGGGGAGATATTCAGGTATTCAGATACACGCCAGGCCACAAGCGGTTGGCAGGAGCAATTTCAAATTCAGTCCCCAGAAATTCACAGGGCACATAGTTTATGTTAACAGGAGAAAAACATGGCAAGGAACAGATTTTCAGATAAGACACTCAAAGTGGTAAGGCAACAAAACATAAATACAATTGTTTTTCTTTTTAAAAAATGCTTAGTTGTAGCATTCACTGAAACAATTTTAAGTTTCTAGTGTCCTAAAATTTAATGTTGCAAAACTGTAGAATGTAATATTTACTTATTAAGGAGACTGTGGCCAAATTAAGATTTCCCAGCTAATCTAAGAAAACAAATATTAAAATAGTAAATAAAATCAAAGTCTTAATATTGGGAAGAAAAAATATTTGGCATAGACGTTTAATATTACATTATTACATACCATATCTCAACTGATTTCCAATTAATAATACATAACAAACTTTAAATCTGTGGCAGTTTGTTTAACGAAAGGTTAGAGAACATGCCTTTGTTAGCACTAGCCACTAACTACCCAAAAACCGAATGCCTGTTTACTTTTTGTGGTAAGGCATGAACTCATCACAACAAATCAGATTTTGTTAGACTACCACAAGACCCCTTTTGAAATAGCTTGTAATTACTGTGAATTACCTCCATTATTTCAATGGAATAAAAATTAGTACTCATTTAACAATTAAATCTACTACACTAAGAACATACTGTGTTTCAGGAATTTCCTATCCAGTGCACACATAAAATCAAGTCAGTATTGAGATGACTTTCTCTTAAACAGAATTCTCTCAAACACAAACAAGTCTCCTTGTTCCACATTGGAAACAAAATTTTCAGAATGTTTTCAAAGAGCTCATACCCCATGAGATCGATGGTGAGAAGTACTGTGCTGAGTCCTGTGTTTACTTTTATAACTACTTCTTCCACTTCTACCAGAGGACTTGCTACTATGGTTCTGGTATCTGCCTTCACGGTCTCCACGGCAATGTCCAGAACCCCATCCCTCACAGCAGTCATTTCTGTATTCATCAATGTAACGTCGGCTGTGGTAATCCTTCTCGTTTATAGATCTGGTTTCCAAATAATAGCTGCAAGAAAAACATATTTTCTATATTTTATGCTAAAGCAAACCATCAAATTTTCAAGTCTTTTTTGACAGCGGTCTCACACACTGCCAATGATCTAACACTGAGCTGCATACCGCCCGGAGGTGAACCCCTCAAATCAGCCTCGTGAAGGGCATGTGGCACAGCCTGTAGCCTCAGCAGAGCAACTTAGACACGTATACAAACGCTGCAAGCTACCAAAATCTCCCAGCAGAAAGAAGTAACAAGCCAGATGTGGTAGCCAAGCCTCAGAAGGCTGAGGCAGGAGAATCCCTCTGAGTTTATTTATGGCTGGCCCGAACTACACATGGAGACCTGTCTCAAAAATCTAAGCAATTACTCGAACTGATCACGACTTTTATCATGAAAATGTGTTTTTCTATCAAGAGACCTCCTCATTCTTTCCTCATGTCCTGGGACAGGACCCCCACTCACCTGTCAGAGGCTTTTGAGGACTCGAACCTGCAGTGCTTGCGCTGCCGAACGCTGCTGCGGGACCTCCTCTTTCTTTTGTGGCTGCTGCTGCTCCGCCACCTCCCATAGTCCCAGTCCCTCTCTTCCCAGTGCGGGCAGTAGGCTCTCTTTGAATGTCTCATCTATGGGAAAGACAGGTTCTCCGCGTTACATTCTATCCCCACCGAAACGTAACAGGAAAAAGCTCTGCCAACCTCCCCACTTGGTGTGGCGGCCACAGCTACCTAGAAGGCAGAGGCAGGAGCATTCCAAGTTTAAAGTGACGGTAATCACTGGACAATTTATCGAGATCGTCTCAAAACAAAATAAGAGCTGGGCGCGGTGGCGCCACGTCTGTAATCCCGGCACTCGCTCGGCAGGCTGAGGCAGGAGGAGTCCTGCGAGTTCGAGGCCAGCTTGGGCTACATGATCGAAATTAAGACAAGTCTCGGCTGCATAGTGAAACCCTGTCTCAAAGAAACAACCCGGAGAACTGGAGAAGCTGCTCAGCGCGCCCCGAAGTCCACCCCCAGCACCCACGAGGACCACCAAGGCCCGATCGCCCCGCTGGGGTCGGCCGAAAGGCGGCTACAACCAAAGCTCGGAAGCCTCCACCACTCGCGCAGCCCGGAGCCGCGCCGCGCCGCCCCGC